AAATGCTAATCTCCTTGCTGAGCTCTCAATGATTTCTAATAATTTGGTAATTGAATATCTTGGATCTTTTAAAGATATACAAATCATATCAACTGTCTTCTGTCCATCAATATCCAATTTCCACTTCTTTCTTCTAAGTTTTAATGCAATACATGACATTTCACAGCCCTCTTTATAGCCTTGGTGAGACTACTTGACTGTTTGGACAGCTAACATGCAGAAGATCCTTGAGAAGGAAAATAAATATTTCTTGTTGTAAGTTCTGTGCTTTACGGATTGGTCTTTACTTGGGATTATCTCTGCCCTATCTGATTCATATGACTGCTAATCTTGTTCTATGAACATGTATAGTATTTATTCTATAAAGCAATAAGAATGTGGCCAGGCAAGTGGATTATAAGCCCACTAGGGTTGATAATATAATATTATATAATTATAATGTGTAATATAATATATAATAATTATATATAATATGTGTAATATATTATATTTATACACAATATAAATATAATAAATATTATATAATGATATAATATAACATTATAAAATGTTAGCTAAGGCAATCCAATAGAGTATTTTTTAAAAATAATGTATCATAATAAAATATGGGTTTTCCCAAGGGATGCAAGGATGGCTCACCATAAAATAATTGACTAATGTAATGAACTACTTAATAGACTGACAGTGGAAAATTTATATGATTATTTCAATTAATGGATTAAAACCCATTCGATAAAGTATTTATCCATTGGTTTAATAAATCATTTAAAAATAGAGCTAGAAGGGAACTTCCTTAACTTGGTAGAGGTTAACTATTCCAAATCCACAGCAGTGTACTGGATGGAGAATCTCTGTATGCATTTCTTCAAATTAGAAATAAGAAAAGATACCTATTCTCACAGTTTACAATTAGACAGGACACTAGAGGTCCTGACCTATGCTATAGGAAAAGAAAATAATTAAGATTTACAAAGACTGTAAGCAAAACCATCATTATTTACAGATGATAAGATTATATATCTAGGAAATTTTTTGTAACACTCTATTAGCTTTAATAAGAGAACTGGACACAAGACCAACCTTACAGATATCAATGACTACTCCTGTAATTTCAGCACTTTGGGAGGCCAAGGCAGGAGGACTGCTTGTGGCCAAGAGTTCAAGACCAACCTGAACAACAAAGTAAGACCCTATTTCTACAAAAAATAAAAAATTTAGCAATGCTTGGTGATGCACACCTATAGTCCCAGCTACTTGGAAGGCTGAGCAGGGAGTATGGCTTGAGCCCAGGAGTTTGTGGCTATAGTGAGCTATAATTTCACCACTGCACTCTAGCCTAGGAGACAGGGTCAGATTTGTCTCTTAAAAAAATAAAGAAAGAAATCAATGGAATTTCTGTTCACCAGCAATAACCAACTAGAAAAATATAATAAAATGTCATTTATAACAGCAACACAAATTATAAAGTTGAAATTGTATAAAGTAGGGTTTTTTTTTTAACAGAGAATATACATGATTTCTATGGTACTCTTTGCCAGACCTTTCAGTCCTCTCAATCTTTCTTTCTTTCTTTTCTTTCTTTCTTTCTTTCTTTCTTTCTTTCTTTCTTTCTTTCTTTCTTTCTTTCTTTCTTTCTTTCTTTCTTTCCTTCTTTCTTTCGTTCATTCGTTCTTTCTTTCTTTCTTTCCTTCTTTTTCTTTTTCTTTTTTTCTGTGACAGAGTCTCACCCCAGTTGCACAGGCTAGAGTGCAGTGGCAAGATCTTGGCTCACTGCCATCTCCACTTCCCAGGCTCAAGTGATTCTTCTCCCTCAGCCTCCTGAGTAGCTGGGGTTACAGGAGTGCACCACCATGCCCACCTAATTTTTGTAGTTTTATTAGAGACAGGATTTCATCATGTTTGTCAGGCTCATCTTGAACTCCTGACCTCAGGTGATCCACCCACCTCGGCCTCCCAAAGTACTGGGATTACAGGCATGAGCCACTGGTCCCAGACAATATTTTTTATCTACCTTCCTTATTATTTTTCTCCCTAGCAATTAACACCATCCAACATAACATATATCTTAATTACTTCTTTTTTTTATTGTCTGTTTCCCTTAAGTTGAATGTAAACTCCATGGGGGCAGAGATTTTTGTTTGCCTAGAAAAGTGTCCAGCATGTAAAAAATATTTAACAAATATTTGTTGAACAAATGTGGAGAAAGTGTTAAAACTATAAATAGGACATTAAAGAGTTTCTGAATAACTGTAACAATATTTCATGCTTTGTTTTGGACAATTTAATATTATGAAGATCAGTTCTCCAGACAGAAGTAATCTAGAAACAATTAAAATTTCAGGTGAAATTTTTGGGAAACTTTTGACTAAAATTAGTCAAAATTTTATATGAAATATATCTCTCTATAAATAGCTGGATTAACTTTGAAAAAAGGACCAAATAAAATAGGCATGCTCATGTTATTTGATGTCTTATACACCCTGTAGGAAGACTTATTGAAAGCCAAAATAATTTAAAAAATAGAATACTAGAATTGCATGGTGTTAAGAGCAGATGAAATAACAAACAGGAATGAATAGAGAGTTTAAAGACAGAGCCAGACATAGGTAAACTTAGTACACACTAAAATTACTACAAATGAATGAGTGAAGAATTTATTGTCTAATAAATGGAACACTGGAAAAGTGTTGTGGGAAGTCAGGGACCCCAAACAGAGGGACTGGCTGGATTCGAGGCAGAAGAACATAAATTGTGAAGATTTCGTGGACATTTATCAGTTCCCAAAATTAATACTTTTGTAATTTCTTACACCTGTCTTTACTGCAATTTCTGAACATAAATTGTGAAGACTTCATGGACATTTATTACTTCCCCAATCAATACTCTTATAATTTCTAATGCCTGTCTTTACTTTAATCTCTTAATCCTGTTATCTTTGTAAACTGAGAATGTACGTCACCTCAGGACCACTATTGTACAAACTGATTGTAAAATATGTGTGTTTGAACAATGTGAAATCAGAGAACCCTGAAAAAGAACAGAATAACAGCAATTTTCAGGGAACAAGGAAAGATAACCATAAGGTCTGACTGCTTGTGGGGTTGGGTAGAATAGAGCCATATTTTTCTTCTCACAGAAAACCTATAGATGGATGTGTGAGTGGGAGAAATATTGCTGAATTATTTTCCCAGCAAGGAATAGCCCTGGGGAAGGAATGCATTCCTGGGGGTAGGTCTATAGACGGCTGCTCTGGGAGTGTCTGTCTTATGCGGTTGAGATAAGGACTGAAATATGCCCTGATCTCCTGCAGTGCCCTCAGGCTTACTAGGTTTGGGAAATTCCAGCCTGGTAAATTCTAGTCAGACTGGTTGTCTGCTCTCGAACCCTGTTTCCTGTTAAGATATTTATCAAGACAATGCATACACAGTGGGACACGGACCCTCATCAGAAATTCTAATTTTGCCTTTGCCTTGTGATCTTTTATTGCCCTTTGAAGCATGTGATCTTTGTGACTTACTCCCTGTTTGTACACTGCCTCCCCTTTTAGAATTCCTAATAAAAATTTGCTGGTTTTGCGGCTCAGGTGGGCATCACGGAACCTGCCGATATGTGATATCACCCCTGGGGGACCTACAGGTTGAAGAGACTTTGAAGACACACGAAGTGGAAATGTGCAGAACTAAACTAGATGGACTAGGGATGTTCGTTTGGGCACTAAAGCCATAAAGACGTGCAAGAAAGTGATTACTACAAAGATCAGCATAGTAGTTACTATTGGGAAAAGGGGTTGGGTGATTAGGATGGGGCATATGGAGGGGCTTCTGCAGTAGCTGGTAGTTCTATTTTTGATCTGAGCAGTGCTGACAAGCAGGTTGGCTAATAGTAATTCACTAAGTTACACAAGTGTTTAGTGCGGTTTTCTGCTTCCGTATTTTATTTTACATAAAAACAAACAGTAATTTTAAAAATTAAGCTATTGTGTAAAGAATAAAATGTAGAAAGTAGAGATGGAAACAGAGAAAGCAGATCAATCATATATAATTGTTGATAAAGCTAACAGAATTCATTGACAATTAGATGTAAAGGGAAGGAATCCAGAATTATTCTGAGTGTGTTCCTTTTATTGATATAGTGATGGTATACTGGGGCAAGAGACGAGCAGTTTGCCGTAGAGGAAGCAAGCACAATAGTACCAGTTTAGCTATGTTAAGAATGTGATTCATTTTCCATAACTGTTATTAAGCAAGCAATTGGACACACATGTTTGGAGCCCATGAGAAAGATCTTGCCTATCCTGGAACTAAGAAAATTAAGAACGTCATTATAGATGTGTGGATAGATAGGTGATAGATGCCACGAGTCTGGGTAAGATCACTTGGAGCAGACAGAGAACAGCAAGCCACTATATCCACAGCAATTTTATAAAGCCCATTTTGAATAACCATATGGGAGAGAGAGGATTGCATAATACTTAGGCCTATAATTTACCCTAAAAATCTTTTTTAAGTAGTTGAATATCTACTCTATGCCAGCCACTCTGCCAGGTATTTTAAAAAGATTATCTATAATCTTCAAAATCATCACACGTTAGGTATTATGGCTTCTTTTAATAGCTGAGGGAACTAGAGGTCAGAGATTGTTGAAAGCCACATTGTTGGTGAGAGGTAGGGTCAAGACACAAAGTGTGGCTGGTCTCACTCAGAAGCTCTTCGCCCTGTCCACATTATATTTCCTGAAACAAAGGAGGCGTGTGAAGTCTAGGAGGCTAGATTTCCAAGCGGACCCCAGTTTCACAATTGGAATTTTTTGCTTTTGCTTTCTTTTCACATATTTAACAGGGCTGTGATTCTTAGAGCTATAGTGCCAGAGCCAGTGTACAAAAACATGCTCCCCTTGGTCTACCTTGTCAGAAAATCTTAGGAGAAAGGACATAGCAATCATTTCTTCTTTGTAATGTCTTCCTTTGGACTGTTGGAAGGGAGGAGAAATTCATTGAATCTTCATCCTTTTTCACTAAATTTTTGCAACACTCTTTGTAAGACACTCCGCACGTCGTTGTTCCTCAGGCTGTAGATTAAGGGATTAAGCATTGGAGTCACGACAGCATAAAAGAGGGCAATCATCTTCTCCTGTTCCACGGAGGAGCCACCCACAGGTCTCATGTAGGTGAACATTGTAGCCCCAAAGCACATGCAAACCACAGTGAGGTGAGAGGCGCAGATCCCAAAGGCTTTGCGGCGCCCCTGAGCAGAAGGAATGCGAAGAATGGTAGCAACTATGCGAGCATAGGAGAATAGGACCAGTGAACAGGGAAGCAGGATCACCAGAAACCCTGAGATGGCCACCATGGCCTTGTTGAAGGAGACGTCCACACAGGCTAGCCATAGCACTGCTAAGTTCTCACAGCCAAAGTAATTAATAACACTGTGACACAGGGGAAGCTGGAAGGTGATCATTGTTTCCGTCAGTGAATTTGAGAAGCCAGCCACCAGGCAGCCGGCCACCAGCCCCAGGCACAGCCCTCCATGCATGATGAGCGTGTAGTGCAGTGGGTGGCACACGGCCACATAGCAGTCATAGGCCATGGCCCCCAGCCGGAAGAACTCCATGCTGCCCATTGCCAAGGAGACACACAGCTGGAGCACACAGCTGTGGCATGGTATGGACTTCCAGGCTGAAAGAAAGTGAACAAGCATCTGTGGGACAGTGCTATTGGTATAACAGATGTCCACAAATGACAGGACACCAAGGAAGAAGTACATGGGTGTATTGAGCCTGCTGTCCAGCCTGATAAGGAGGAGGATGAGGAAGTTCCCCAGCACAGTCACCAGATACATGGCCAGGAACAGGACAAAGAGGAAGACCTGAGTCTCCCAGGCACTGGACAATCTGAGCAGAATGAATTCACACATCCATGTCTGGTTTTCTCTACCCATGAGCCTCTGAGGACCAAACCCAAGTCATAAATCAGTAAGTCCCAGAACTTCAGGGTGGCAGAGGCTTTATGAGGTCATTTACACCAGGTAGCCCATCTAATATTAAGTGATGTTGTTTTCCAGATTATATACATCTCCTTGAATGTTCTGGCCACAATAGAACCTGTAGATGTTCGCATTCATTGAGGAAAAAAACCTCTTCTTCCTTAAGTGGGGAAGATTTTATTAAAATGAGTGGACACTTGACTTAAAAAGATCAACTGTGAAACTGGAATCTCTTCTTTTACATCCAATTGCTAATTATAAAGTTTGCTTACTTCTTTGTTGGATACCCGTTTTTCCCTCCTTACTGTCTCAGAATCCATAGTAAAGTAACCTAACAGTTACGAACACATTTTAAATTTTTTGATCTCTGAATTCTCTAACTACAAAACTATGTTGCCCCATTTTTATCCATTTATAATTAGAAACTTGGGGCTTCATCTTAGAAAGCAAACATAAAATAGATTTTTAAGTGATAAAAACTGTCAAAAGTCTCTTATCTGGATGATAAGGTAAGAGGAAAGAATGCCCAATGTCATTTTCATCCTCCTGCAGAAAAGTAGCAGAGTATGTGTTAACAGCAGGCAATGACTGTCCAGAAACTATATGTCAGTGATGCACCTACTATCTTCCCTAATAAATGATAAGAACTTACATATTTGCTAGAAGTATTAGCCTATTAACTGAGAGATAATGGTCATCTAGTTGCATATTCCCTCCGGGTCTATTTGTATTGTCCTGAATAGTGACAATTTGGAGACTACAGTGTGATGGAAAATAATTAACTGGAATTAACTCATTGAAATGAGTATTGATTATCTCTCACTCTCTTTCTCTCAATTCCCTTTATTCGTGTTCTCATCTCAAATACTTTGCTGTTCCACTCCCTTGGAAAACTTTGTCTTCTCTTATCTCTGTACTGTTCTCCTTCTATTGTGGCTCACAGAACCAAAAGGTAACACTCTAGCCTGCTCAATACCATCTCCACACTTTCTAATACTGATGATAAACAGTATTTTGGAAAGTTCAAGGGCTCTAGTATTCAAAAATGCTCTTTGAAACTCTTAGTAATCTGTGTTTGCACCTTATTCAAATCACAAATGATTTGGAAACATTTTATGGTCTTACCAAAGTCTACTCTAAATTTCCCACATACTCTATTTTTTAATTACTCTGTCTTGTGGCAAAAGAAAATGAAACTTAGACCCAGATGCTCCAACCAAATATTACCTACTTTCCATCTGTGGTCTGGTAGTGCCATTAACTGCAGATAAATAGGGTGTCCAGAGCACTTGGATAAGCTAGCAGACAAAAAGTCAATGGGCATTTGGATATGATAATCCTTTATTCACCTTTGAATAAATTAAGCTTCATAAACCATTCCTATCCCAAGAGATAATTTATGTAAGTTACAATGAGAGGAGGCAATAAAAGTACTAAATGTTTTTTAATTCTTTAAAATGTACTCTAAAGCTTCAAAAGATTAATAAATCACTTCATAATATTTCTATCAAAGAAAGAAGAAACCTACCCTTTTATAATCCCTAATGAATAAAATAGTCAAATTATGAAAGCGTAACTGGCAGGTACTGCAGGTAAAAAGAGAGAGATGCCTCATCTCAAAGGGGAAAATCAATGCCTGGGACCTGTCCATGTGACTTGGCCATAAACAGACAATATGTTATAAACTAGTTTTGAAAATTCAATGGAGTAGTAGTCAGTTCTACTATGACCTATGAAACAATTCATATAAAGGAATTTCATCAGCAAAGGGTTGAAACTAACAGAGAAGGGTACATTTGATGATGCCTTAATGGATCTCAGGTACCAAATAAGGAAACCTGGTTGAAAAAACCAACTGACATTAATCTCTTGGAGTTTTAAACCTTTTACTTCTTAAAAAAAAAAAAAAAATTAGTTAAAGGTTTGACAAACTTTAGTAATCCCTGATTTTTGGCCAGTAAGGCCCAAGAAGGTACTGATTAAAGATAAAATAAAAATACCTGTAGTTAGCGTGTCATATTTCTGCATCATCTTCGTTATTTTTTTTTACGGCCTCTTCCTGGGAGTGTATGAACTGCTTTGCCAATGAATTTGCATTTACCAGTTCATCTCTCATTAACTCATTTCTTGATCTGTCTAAAGGGAGCGTAAGTGCAAATCTTTCCTAATTCATTGGAGGACGGCAATATATGTATCCTTAATGAAATAAGAATATAATGCTAATGGTAAAAATAATGATTTCTTAAGAAAAAAACAAAGAATAAAATAATAAAGCTTAAAACATTTTTGAAAATGTGGTATGTAAATAAAAGTTAAGCAGATTTTCTAAAGTAAGGTGGCAATGTTATAATTGACAAAAATAGTGAAGGCGAACGGCATTCCTGTATCACCTTTTCTTCCTGAGTTTATGATTCAAGCTTCCTATGGTGATGAATTACAAGTATTCTTTTCAAAAAACAAAGCCACATGGAAAGCTTGAGTTTTTCCCAAAATGTCGATTGGCTGAGTTGCTCTCCCAATCCCAACTTCCTTAGGTATAGCCACAGTGCTGGCAGCAACATACGCTTTGGTTATTCTGATGAAGTTACCTTATGACCATCATCATTTATGAGCCAGTCAACACAAACCTGTCCTCTAGTCCACATTTCCAGGAGTTAGTGCTGCTGTGTGCTGCAGTGGGATGCAGGAAACATTACCAGCTAAGCCTGGCGATTCCTGTGAAAGCTGTCAAAGCCTTATGCTGGGTGCTTCTTTTCTCAGAGGTATCTGAAAATAACTTCCTCCTCAATTTGGCTATTCAAGCTATGGTTTCTTGGAACCAATTGCCAAAATGAGACTTTTATCATTCCACCAACCAAATTCATTCCTATTGTCACATAAGGCTTAAAAATCTAGGAAGCAGCTGTGTGTGTTAAGGAGGAAACCCTGGGTTCACGGCTCAAGGTTCCAATACAGCACTGGAGATGACAAGAGGTCAGCACTACCCCAGGAAGAGAGGGCTGGGCAAGAGGCAGGATTTAGAAGTTATTTTCTTTCCCCTCAGAGAGAAAATCTCTGCAGGCCAATTATGCTGTGTTTATTAGGCTTCTCTTTTTCTTCTTTTTTTTTTTTCTTTCATTTTTCCCCTTCATTTCTTTTTCCTTCATTCAGGAATTTCAATATGGTGACTTCTTCACCTAAAACTCTTACATATACATTTAAGAGAATTTACAAATAAGAATGTAGTGTTTCCTGAGCCCAAAACATGAGAAGAGAATTCAAAGTCCCAGTTCCCCAGGGGACATTCTTCTAAGCCTTTGTTGAAGTTTCACTTTGAGGAAGCTGTAACTTGCCCATGATGTTGTGTCCATACACTCATGATTTGGAATATTTGACCCAAGTGTCCAGTTATTCATGGATCATCTATATGACCTTTGAACATTATCTTCTTTAACATGACACTTAAGTTGTGCATTATTTATGATCAAATATCTTTTCACAACTGATGCAACTGTTTTGTGAAACCTTTCTCATTCTGACTGCTGAAAAAGTACTTCAATCTGTCAAATTATTTAACTATGTATATAGTGCTTAACCCTTATATTCTGCAAATACCACAGAAATTTACTGCATACTTTAAGCATCTCAAATTATATATCCATTGTGTTAGATATGTGCGTTGTTTCTAGTTTGTAGCTATTAAAAACAATACTGCTATGAACATTCATAGACACATACAACACACTCATCTTTCATCCCACATATGTACCCATTTCAGTTGCCTGGTAGTGTAATTGCTACATCACAAGTTAAATGCACGCCCAACATTAGCTAACATTGTCAGTTTGCCAAAACAGTTGTATAAATTAAATTTCCATCAACTACACATTAGGATTTTTATTTTTGCTTCATCCTTTCTCTACCCTTGTTATTGTCAGTTTTTTTCCTTTTTAACCATTCTCATAGGTACATAGTAGTATCTCACTGTGATTATATTTTACATTTCCCTAATGACTAACAGCGTTGTACCTATTTTCAAATATTTATTGGCCATTTGGATATTCCATTTTGTGAAATGTATATGCAATATTTTGCCCAGTTTTCTACTGGGCTATCTCTCTTTTTCTTATTGATTTTGGCTCGCTATATATTTTGAATGTAAGTCATCTGTCATAAAATATTTTCTTCCATGGTGTGGCTTGCCTTTTTACTTTCTTCATTGTGCTTCTGATGAATTGATTCTCTTAATTGTAATGTAGTTTTATATATCAATTGTTTTTCATATAGTTCTAACGTTCTGTGTCCTGAATGAGAAATCTTTGTCTACCACAATTCATCTTTGTCTATTCACAATTGCTTCTATACTACTCCCATGTGTTGCCATAAACCAAATTTCAATTTATTGTGTAGGTTTTTATTTCTAGGCTCTAGGCTCTTTTTTTCTGTCCCATTGGTCTGTTTATTTATTGCTATACCAATACTACATTTTCTTCATTACTATAGTTTTATAATAAATCTTGTTTTATCATAGTGTAAATCCTCCAACTAGATTCTAAATTTTTAAGTCGTCTTGACACTTCAGGCCATATAAATTTTTAATATGATTCTAAAATGTTCTCAAAAATTTCCAGGACAATAACTTGCTAAGATTTTAATTTGATTTTCATTGAATCTGAAAATCCATTTGGGGGGAAGTGACATTTTTATGGTATTGTGTCTTCCAATCCATGTAAAAGTTATATTCTTCCATGTATTTTGTATCTGTATTTTTAATCTATATATATGTGTTGTAGATCTCTCATTAGATTTGTTCCCAGATTTGAAGTTTTGAAATGTTGTTTTAAACAGTGTCTTTTAAATTACGTGAAAATATAATTAGCCTTTCTATATTGAATACATGAAATGGCTTTTGTGGATGACTGGTGTCATTTATATCTTATATATTTGGTAGAATTCCTTGAAGAAACACTTGATTTAAAATAATTATTTGAAGGAAAATTCTTAAACACAGATTCGAATTTCTTAAATATAAGACACACGATTTCTTCATGTGTCCATTTTGGTAAGGTTTTT